CATTATAGGCAGGAGCCACCACACCACATACAAACACAATTTATAATTAAGGTCATAAGGTAATAAAATTTATTATCTAAGCCCTTTACTAAGATATCATTTTTTAACCAAACAATCAGACACTTCTAGAATTTATGAAATTCTCACTGGATGAGTTTTTAGAAAATGTGGTATCCACATCCAATGATCACATGTCACCACATTGACAGGTGTGGCTGAATTAATTCTTATCTACTTGGAAAAGTTTTCATTCCGTTCCTCTCTTCTTTGCTCAAGGGAAAATGAACCTGCTTCAGGAGAAAACTTTCCCAGAAAAAATAGGAGATATTTTTATTTAAGGACATTATATCAAATGCCAACGACAAATACAATGTGTTTCTTAAAGTATTTAAATATATTAAGAAATTAGGGACTGTACTGGCTCCATGCCAATGACAGTAGTTTGCTCAAATGCCATTAAATACACTGATATAATCTATAAACACTAAAATTATCTTTTAAGTTGTGTCATTGATCTGTGCTGCTCAGTTCAGTAGCCATTAGATATGTATGGGCAATGTGATTGAGAATTGACCTTTTAAATTTAATTTAATTCATATGAATTTAAATTTTAAAACAAATCCTCCACTCAGTTCGGTTGCTGGAAAATTTTTAAATACCTGTAGAGCACCTTCAGCATATAAATCTACTTTTTCAATTGTAAACTTTGTGAAAGAGAAGTGCAGATCAAGTATTTCCAACGAAGACATGTTCAAATTGAGAAGTGTTATAAGATACAGAGCAATAAAAAAGAATTTAATGGTTTATTAATAGTTTTTGTTTTAATTGCATATTGAAATGACAATATTTTAGATATATTGGGTTAATTAAAATGTATTGTTAAAATTAATTTCCTTTATTTACTTTGTGTGATATGGCTTCTAGAATATTTAAAATTACATAATTTTTAATTGTATAATGGCTCACATTTTACTTCTATTGGATAGTATCTGTATAAAGACTTACCATTCTTTTCATATATATTCCTTTTCTCAACAAACTTGGATCAACTTTATGGGGGAAGGTTGGTTTTTCCAAGAGAAAATTATCTTCAAAGGGTGATAATTCAGTGAAATATTATGTGATAAATTTGTCAGTGAAATGGAAATATTGAAGAAACCAATACACATAGTGCCATATACATAAAGCAATATCATACAATTAAAATATAGAAAAATCAGATTGCTATTAATGGTTGAAAATTATAACACAGTTAAGCAATAAAATCAGAACACACTGCTTATCATTGAAGCCTGATTAGAAGAGAAAATAGTGCATAATATATCATTTTTCCACAGATATAATTGTTAAAATGCTGGATGCCTATTTATTTGTCTATTTCCAAGGGAAAAAAAGAAACAAAAATTGTACCGTTTTGTACTATTTTAAAGGTAACATATAGTTTATAATAGGTAAACATTTAGTATGAAAATAATACCTTGATGCAAAATATAATCTAAGATATATCAATGTTAAGTGTTAATTTAAAGCTACCAAGATCCTATTATGTACATTGCTTTGTACTAGGTACTTTGGAAAATAAAAAAGAAAAGTAGCTGGTTCTTACTCTTAACAAAAACATACCCTGTATCTGTAAGATAACTGGTATAAATTAAACACATTGTCATAGTTAATATGTGAGATGTATTTAATGCTTTAATCAGTTCTTCTTAAAGTGTGCATGGAGGCCCCCAAAGACTCTTTCAGGGATCCCTAAGGTCCTCCTTTTCTTAAGTTACATATTTGTCTGAGCCTGATCTTCTTCAATTACCAAACCTCAACTGGCATTTCACAACAGATTGTATGCAAAAGCTGATATGAAAATCTAGCTGTCTACAATCAGATGTGACATAAGAAACTTTTTAAAGTAAAACATTATTATGCTGATTATTTTTTAGTCTGGAAAATATTTTTTTATAAAAACATATTATTTATGTTAATGGATTACATTTATTATTGTTATTTTATAATCAGTAAACACGCTGTTTTTAAATTAAAGCTTTAATTTCTAACGATGCATATTGATACATACAATCTATGTAAACAAAAACTCTTTAAGTTTCTTAATCATTTTATAAGTGTAGAGAGATCCTGGGACCAAAGTGTTTCAGTGTCACTCCTTTACATAATCCTGTCTTTATTACATGATTTCCAGAGTGAAAAAGCCAGAGAAGTGCACTACTTAGCTCTCCATTGAAGAGAATTCCATGAGAGGATGGGTAGTAGACAGCCTCCAGCCACTGCAACTTTGGGTCTTTCACAGCATTCACGCTAAGGTGAAATTTCTGTGGGCTCAGACAATGAATGTCCAATGAGAGGCTCCATTAACAGACATTATTTACTCTGTTTCTTGGCTGAGATTTTTACAAAATTGAACAGAAGTCTGAACTGTCAAGCATCCTTCTTTTCTACTCTTCTTTAACAGGTATCTGCCTGGCATCATGGTCTGAAGACTGTTTCACCTACTCCTTCCCCCGTCTACTCTCCTGTCCATAGGCATTTCTCCCAAAAAGTCTTTTGCACATTTAATTCCATCTTGGTGTCTGTCTCTTGAAGAACCTAAACTGTCATATAAGGTTAGGAAGGAAAATTATTTGCATCATACTTAATGATTTTACTTTTTTTTTTTTTGAGATGGAGTCCTGTTCTGTCACCTAGGCTGGTGTGCAGTGGTACGATCTCAGATCATTACAACCTCTGCCTCCTGGGTTCAAGCGATTCTCATGCCTCAGCCTCCTGAGTAGCAGGGATTACAGGCACATGCCACCAGCCCTGGCTAATTTTTGTGTTTTTAGTGGAGACGGGGTTTCACCATGCTGGCCAGGCTTGTCTCAAACTCCTGACCTCAAATGATCCTCCCACATTGGCCTCCAAAAGTGCCGGGATTACAGGCATGAGCCATCATGCTCAGTCGACTTTACAGTATGTTTATGTCCTCCTTTGTGTAATATAAAGTCATTGTCAACCTTTGCTGTTTAGAGTGTCATACATATTGATATGGAATACATGTTTGAAAGCAGGAATTATTTAATTTCTGGTAAAATGTATTTACTTTTATATCCAACCTCTGTCCAAGCATTACCGCATCACCTATGCCTTAATGCAGTAGTTTTCATATTGTTTTATTTTTATTTATCTTTTATCTTACATTTAGGGTTTTTTGGCAATGAATCTTCAGGAGTGGCCACTGTAGAATGAACAGATGATTGAAGAGCAAAAGGATCAATAGTTTCCAGACTCCCGTTTCTAATTCAACCAATGTTGCTCTTATTTGTAGAATTCATACATTTAAATTTGATGTAAAATTCCATTTGAAGGTGTGCCAGTGCCAAAAAGTCAATTAATAAAACCACTTTCAAATTGACCAGAATTTTGTATATTTAATAAATACCTAATATTGGTCTTTCTTCCTTAATCAACAATAGCAAGATGTCAAACCTACAAATATAAAGTTTAACTCCATTGTGATTTGATTCATGGGAGGATGTATATTTATTTATTGCATATTTATTATTTTATGACCTGAAAATAAAATGTTCTTATCATTGCCATGGAAGTATGCTCTTAAGTGATATATAATGTAAAATCAGAAAAAAAAAACCCTTCCTGATGTTTAAAACAAGTGAAATAAATCATTTCAGTGTTGATAAATTTTAAAAGTCATTTGCTATTTTTGTAGATGGCAGTATCACTAAAACAATGCCAAAAATCATAATTAAAGATACGAAAAAGTGACAATTCATTGAACCAAATTAAAACTAATCATAGGGCCGGGTGCTGTGGCTAATGTCTATAATCTCAGCACTTTGGAAGGCCAAGGAGGACTGATCTCTTGAGGTCAGGAGTTTGAGACCAGCCTGGCCAACATGGTGAAACCCTGTCTTTACTAAAAAATACAAAATTTAGGAAAGCGTGGTGGTGTGTGCCTGTAATCTCAGCTACTCGTGAGGCTGAGGCAGAAGAATCACTTGAACCAGGGAGGCAGAGGTTGCAGTGAACCGATATCATGCCACTGCACTCCAGCCTGAGCAACAGAGTGAGACTCCATCTCAATAATAATAATAATAATAATAATAATGAAAAAATTCAATATGCTAACTGAATTTAAACACGCCTAAAGCAGTTGAAGATTTCAATACTTTCTTCTTTTCTCTGCTGTCTTTGATGAATGCATCTAAAATTTACTTTTGGACTTAAAAGTTTTATGGAAAAAAAGTTTTATGGGAATTTTGATCCATTTAGAAACTTGTGCAGTCAATTAACTGGAAACATAATGAGCACAGGACCCCAGAGTAATGACTTCAAACGAGGATAAAATGCATGTACAACTTCTAGTTGTATTATTAGGAAAATATCACCAGTCATACAATAGCACTTGATATTATGGAGAGTTCAACCAGCAGTGACCATACTAAGTAGAACAATAAGAAAAACTCAAAGAAAGACAAAGGTGTTAGGGTCACGCTGACTAGACTGTTCCTTCTCCTTTCCCATGGATCTTACAATGCTGTCCTTTGTGACCTCCTCACAGCTTCCCAAGGGCTAAAGACAAACGCCCCTTCACTGACCTCTCCAGTAACTTTGTCCAGGCAGTTACAGGATGCGGTTAACATGTCTATTCACCTCGCATAACAAAGCTGGCAAAAAACATCTCCAGGATGCGGTCAAGAAACCTGCACCTCCAAATAAGCTCCCCCACCCCGACTCAGCCCTCCCGCACACCCAACTCAGCTCCCCACCCTGACCCAGTTCCTCGTCCTGCAGTAGTGTGTAAGCGGGGTTGCCTCCTCTGCTTTTGTCAAGAGGTAGCCCGGCAGGACCAACAATAAACCAGCTTGCCTGAACTTGGGTCTATTGGCCTCATTCCTTTCTGGGCTGTCCTTCTAGTTAACCCTTACATATTGGTGCCGAAACCTGGGAACGCGGTAGAGTTCGGCCCCCCTTTCTCCTTTTCTTCTTCCCTCCCTCCTTCACCCGGCCAAACTTCTCCTTCCAGAAACTGCCAGAGACCCAGAGGATTTCCTACTCCTTTCCATTGCTGGCAAACACATCCAACACCAGGGCCACCTCAGGGGTGAGTAAAGGAGACTTTTATCTTCCCTCCAGAACCCTTGTCTGCTCTTTCCTTCCCGAAAGACCCAGCGCTGGGCCAAGGGTTTCCTCCTCCCGGCCTGCAGGCCCCTCAGTATCTCCCTTTCAGGGTCGCCTGAAGATTATCGCACTTCTCCGACTTGAACCGTGGGACAAGGGACGCCTTCTCTCACAGTTCTAGTCTCTGGCTAAGTCTCCCGTCTCTACCCCTCCCTTTCTCACTCCACTCTGGGAGCCTCCCAATCCACTCCCTCAAAGACATCCCCCTGCTCGGGTATTTCCTCCGTAACCTTAACGCCCTTAGCCTCCGTTTCGAAATTCGGCAAAAAAAAAAAAAAAAAAAAAAAAAAAAAAAAAAACACCCTCATCTTTTACTGTAACACTCCCTGGCCACAATGTAAACTAAAACATGGCTCCCAATGGCCTGAAAACGGAACTTTCAGTTTCAACATCCTCAGGGACCGAGACAACTTTTGCCATCGCAATGGAAAGTGGTCTGAAACCCATTATGTTCAGGCCTTTTTTGCCCTCTGTAGCTGCCCCTCCCTTTGTCAGTCCTGTTCTGCTTTCCAAATCCTCCTGGCCCGCTCCAAGCCAGACTCATCCTCACCTCCCCTTCCTCCTGACAATTCCTCCTCCTTTAACCCTGCCGACTTTTCTTCTCCCCAACACCACCATAATCTTCCCCCAAGTCATCACAATCCTCCACCATGCACTCCCACTCCTGCCTTACCTCTTTCCCCTCCTCTCTCCAACCACTCAGGTTTTGATTCTAATTCCTCCCCATCTCCACCTCAGACCCAGCACGCCCAACAGTCGGTCTCCTTACTTCCCCTCCGAGAGGTGGCCGAGGCTAAAAGAATCGTTCACGTCCACCTTCTCTTCTCCCTCTCCAACCTTTCCCAAATTAAGAAATATCTCAGGTCCTTTTCCTCCAATCCTGACAACTTATATCAAAAAGCTCAAATACCTTACCAAATCTCACTTGGCATGATCTCTGTGTTATCCTGTCTTCTACTCTCCTCCCAGAAAAGAAAAAAAAAAAAAACAAAGAAGTGCGGCTTGCAGCTCAGGCGCCTGCCAACGATCTTCATCGACAAGTCCCTAGTACGCCAGTAGGGGCCGCTGCAGTTCCCCGGGAAAAGCCCTACTGGGAGTACCAACCTACAGACCCTGGCCGGCATCTCTTAAACACATGGTCCCTTGCCTTATCACAGTCCTTAACAAAGCTTCCCATAAGGCTGTACACTTTGAAAAAGTCAAAGCAATCTCCCAAAGGGCCGACAAAAATCCCACCGAATTTCTTTCCCGCCTTATAGAGGCCCTCCAAAAATATACCCGTGTTGACCCCACCTCCCGGGAAGGAACTGTTGTTCTTAATACCCATATCATCTCTCAGTCTGCTCCTAACATACGGTGCAAACTCAAAAAGGCTGAAGATGGCTGTCAAACCCCTCAGCAAGACCTTCTCAACCTGGCCTTCAAAGTCTTTAATAATATGGATGAACAAGAAAAAATAAATAAAGCTCAACAAGATCGTGCCAAATGCCAGCTACTAGCCGTGACTATTTGCCAACCTGGCAATAGTACCCAAGGGCACAAAAAACCCAATAGCAGTCTCCCCTCTGGGGTCTGTTTTAAATGCGACAAAGAAGGACATTGGATGTGGGCATGTCCCAACCCAAGGACACCAAAAACTCCTTGCCCAGACTGCCAACAAACTGGTCACTGGTAGTCTAACTGTCCTCTTAACAACCAGGCTAACAGACCAACTCCTCAAAGCCCTGACAAGGCAAGGAGTGAAAGATTGCTCACCCTACCGCAGCTCCTTGGCCTGGCCGCTGAAGACTGACGGAGCCCAGGGCCCCGGGCCCCATCTGCCATTACTGCATCAGAGCCCAGGATAACTCTGCTAGTAGCAGGTAAGCCAATCTCCTTTTTAATCTATGCTGGGGCCACTTATTTGGCTTTGCCTGAATTTTCAGGACCACTCATCCCTCCCAAGTCTCTGTCATGGGGGTTGATGGACTCGTCTCACATCGGCACGCCACTGAGTCCCTTATTTGTTCCTTGTTTAATATCATTTTTTCACACTCCTTCCTTATCACGCCTGGTTGTCACACCCCCATTCTTGATGGAGATCTTTTAGCTCAATTCAAAGCTTCCATCACTTTTTCCTGCCTCTCTCAACCAGAATCCCTTCTCCTCTCCGCTAGCCCAGTCCCTGACTCTTCTCCCTCGTACCCACTTCCCTCCGCTCTCATTAACCCAGTGGTGTGGAATACCACCATCCCTTCCATAGCTGCACACCATAGCCCTATCAAAATCCAGTTAAAGGACCCCTCCAAATTTCCTAATGTTCCCCAATAGCCTATCTCCCTAACACACCAAAACGGCCTCCAACCTATTATAAACAAACTCTACTCAAGTGGCCTTCTCAGAACAACACATTCTCCATATAACACCCCAATTCTCCCCATTAGAAAATCTGACGGCTCACACTGACTCGTTCAGGACCTCCGAGCCATCAATCAGGCTGTTCTCCCTATTCACCCCATGGTCCCTAACCCCTATACACTTCTCTTCCTCATCCCCTCCAACACCACCCACTATACAGCAATCAACCTAAAGGATGCTTTCTTTACCCTTCCCTTACATCCTATTCCCAAGACCTCTTTGCCTTCACCTGGGCTGACCCTGACACTCTTCAGTCACGGCAACTCACATTGACTGTCCTCCCCCAAGACTTCAGAGATAGCTGTCACTTCTTTGGAAAAGCTCTAGCCCAAGACCTCACCTCCTTAGACCTCTCCCCCAGACGCCTCCTCCAATATGTTGATGATCTCCTTCTTTGCAGCCCAACCCTAGAGGACTCCCAAATTCACACCATCACCCTTATAAACTTTCTTGCTAGCAAAGGATATAGGGTCTCCCCCTCCAAAGCCCAACTATCTACCCCAACAGTAACAAACTTAGCAGTTGAACTCTCCCCCAGGGCCCGAGCTATGACCCCAGCATGAGCAACCTTAAAAAACAGCTTGCCTCTGCCTTCCTCAAAAAGTGAAATTCTGTCTTTCTTAGGACTGGCAGGTTTCTTTAGGATATGGATTCCCAACTTTGCCCTCCTGGCTAAGCACCTCTACAAAGCAGCCAAAGGCCCTCTCAATAAACCCCTAAACTCCTCACCCAACATACTTCCCAGTTTCTGTAGACTCCAAACCGCTCTTGTACTGCACCTGCCCTGTCCTTACTCACATCTCCCAAACCTTCATTTTCTATACCATCGAAAACCAAGGAATAGCTCTCAGGATCTTAGGGCAAAAAAAGGGAAGTCCTCCTTCCTTTGCCCCTGTGACATGCCTCTCTAAACAATTAGACAAGACTGTCAAGAGGTGATCAACCTGTCTTAGAGCATTAACAGCAGGAGCCGTTTTAGCTCTGAAAACTCGAGACGGGCGGATCATGAGGTCAGGAGATCGAGACCATCCTGGCTAACACGGTGAAACCCCGTCTCTACTAAAAAATACAAAAAACTAGCCGGGCGAGGTGGCGGGTGCCTGTAGTCCCAGCTACTCGGGAGGCTGAGGCAGGAGAATGGCGTAAACCCGGGAGGCGGAGCTTGCAGTGAGCTGAGATCCGGCCACTGCACTCCAGCCTGGGCGACAGAGCGAGACTCCGTCTCAAAAAAAAAAAAAAAAAAAAAAAACAGAAAAACAAAAAAACAAAAAAAAAAAACAAAAAAAAACCTAACATTTGTCCAAAGCACCACTGTCCACAGCTCTCACAACTTACAGGATCTCCTCTCTTCCTGGGCATTAAGTTCCCTCTTTTCTTCCCAAATTCAGTCACTCCATGCCCTCTTTATCAAAAATCCTGAATTCAGCCTCACCAAAAGTGCCCCCTTCAACTCAGCATCCCTACTCCCCATATCCTCTTCCCCTTTTACTCATTCTTGCACTGACATTCTGGATCATCTGCAGCCACAGTTTCCTAACATCTTCTCCGAGTCTCTCACTAACCCAGATGACCAACTATCCATAGATAGCTCCTCTTCCAGAGCTCCCAGCTCTCCCAAAATTGCTGGGTCTGTAGTAGTTACCTTAAACCATGTAGTCGAGTCTAAACCCCTACCCCCAGGAACCTCCTCCCAGAAGGCAGAACTCATAGCACTCACCAGAGCCCTAACCCTCTCCAAAAACAAACGGTCAACATATACACAGACTCCAAGTATGCCTATCACATTCTTCATTTCCATGCTGCCATGTGGCAAGAGAGAGGATTCCTTACCGCCAACAAAACCCCATTACTAATGGCTCCCTTATTTACTAACTCCTTCAGGCCGCACACTTCCCAACTGAAGCAGGAAACGTACACTGTCGAGGACATCAAGCAGGATCAGATAAAATCTCAAAAAGAAATAGAATGGCGACGAGGTAGCAAAACGGGCATCCCTTTCTCCTCTCCCTGCCCCCATCCTCTTGTCACCCCAGCGGTCCAACCCAAATACTCTCCCAGCAAAAAGGCTTTGCCACTACAGCAAGGAGCCTCCCTACAAGGGGACTGGTTAATCAAAAATCAAAAGCTTGTTCTTCCCCAAGAGCAAACCAAGGAAATTATAACATCTCTTCACCAATCCTTCCCTATCAGTGCATGCCCCCTACTCCTTTGCCCTTATTTTTCCTCCCCCAATCTATTCACCTCACTAAAGGATGTAAACCCAAACTGCTCCATTACTTCCTCCCAAGGGACCCTCCGTCCTCTCCTCATCCCTACACATCAGCTCAGAGGAACACTCCCAGGGGAGGCCTGACAAGTAGACTTCACACACATGCCTCCCATCAAAACAACTAAATATCCTCTTACCCTTGTAGACACTTTTTCATGTTGGGTTGAAGCATTTCCTACCCCTTCAGAAAAAGCTGCAGAAGTCTCTAAAATTCTCGTAACAGAAATCATCCCTAAATTTGGTCTCCCTCACTCCAAACAATCAGATAATGGGCCTAGCTTCATCTCCCAAATGACCCAACAAGTCTCCCAATCCCTTGGCATTCAGTGGCGCCTCCATATCCCACACCAGCCCCAGTCATCCGGAAAAGTCGAGAGGGCAAATGGAATTCTCAAAACTCAGTTAACCAAACTCACAGTAGAGGTCAAAAAACCTTGGACCTCCCTTTTACACGTAGCTCCGATATGAGCCAGTCCAAAGGCCTCCTCCTTCCTCACTCCATTTGAGTTACTGTATAGGACGCCCTTTCCTCTTACAAAACAGACACTCCCCTGACTCTCAATTAGGAGAGTACCTCCCGACTCTCTCCCTCATCTGTCATCTTCCCTGCAAACAAGCTGACCAAGCCCTCCCAAAACCCTACACAAATCATCACGATTTCTAACCCCCTCAGACCCAAGTCACAGGAAAAACATCAGGATTCTGCAATAACCGACACAGGCCCTGCATAGACATCACAGGGTGGAGCACTTGTCTAAACCCCATCCCCACTTCCGAATGCATGCAAATCCCACTGTCTAACACAGCCTCAAACGAACTGTTTATTGACACAAAATGCATCTTTCTACACTTAGAAAACTCAACGGTGGGAGCTAGCCAGTTCACCTCAACTCACCCACTCCAACCCCTAACCGGAACAGCTGTAGCCTCCCCCTCCATGCCTGGCACTCAGAAAACAACATTTTTTATCCCCTTTTCGCCATACATTTCCAATTCTACCTCCCTAGCCAAGGTGTGTTGTTTCTATGTGTCACCTCCACCTACCTCTGTCTACCCACCAACTGGACAGGAACCTGTACACTAGTCTTCCTCAGCCCTAAACTAGACATAGCTCCAGGAGAAAACCTGCCCTTCCAAACCTTAAATACTCAACTCTCACACTACAGGCACCAGGCCATACAGCTTATCCCACTACCTGTAAGCCTAGGCATCACAGCGGCTGCAGGCACAGGAGTAGCAGGAATCGCAACCTCTTACTGCCACAAAACCTTATCAGTGGACCTTTCATGTGGTATAGGCGACCTTGCAACTCCCATATACACCTTACAAGCTCTACTAGACTCCCCAGCGTCAGTCGTCTTACAAAATCGCAGAGGTCTCAACCTACCGACCGCCGACAAAGGAGGACTCTGCACTTTCCTAGATGAAGAATGCTGCTTCTATTTGAACCAGTCAGGTTTAGTTCAAGATGCAGAAACAAAAACAAAAACAAAAAACAGACAAACAAAAAAACCCTCAAAGATGGAGCCCAAAAGATCAGGGAAAGCAGCTCCTCCACCAGGCCCTCTTGGCCCTCTTGGTCTCTCAGCACCTGGGCCCCCTGGCTACTCCCTCTCCTTGGACCTATTATAATCTTATAATCCTTTCTCTCCTCCTAATCTTCAGGCCTTGCTTAATACGCCTCTTCACCCAGTTTTTGCAGAATCGTATCCAAGCCTTTGCCCACGGAACCATACAGGACATGGTGCTACTACAGAAGAATCCACAATTTTAAAACCAAAGCCAACCCCCACCTTCCAACCTTTCCCTAACCACCGCCCACTCTCAGTCTGAAGTAGCTAGACCAAAAATGGTGCCCCCTTTCCTATCATCTATTAAAAGGCTGGAATGTTAGGGTCACTCTAACCAGACTGTCCCCCTCCCTTCCCATGGGTCTTACAATGCAGTCCTTTGTGACCTCTGCACAGCTCCCCCAGGGCTAAAGACAAACGTCTCTTCACTGACCCCTCTAGTAACTGTTTGTCCAGGCATACACGATGCAGTTAATATGTCTGTTCACCTCGCATAACATAGCTGGCAAAAAAAACATCTCCAGGATGCGGTCAAGGCACCTGTACCCCTGACTCAGCTCCCCACCCCGACTCAGCCCTTCTGCACACTTAGCTCAGCTCCCCCACCCCTACTTAGCCCTCCTGCAGACTCAGCTCAGCTCCCCCACCCCGACTCAGCCCTCCTGCACCCCCAACTCAGCTCCCCCACCCTAACCCAGTTCCTCCTCCGGCAGTAGTCTGTAAGAGGGGCTGCCTCCTCTGCTTTTGTCAAGAGGTAGCCTGGCAGGACTGACAATAAATTAGCTTGCCTGAACTTGGGTCTTTTGGCCTCATTCTTTTCTCGGCTGTCCTTCCAATTATCCCTTACTAAAGGAAAAATAAAATATTGCATTACGTAGGAAAATAAGACAAAGCAAAGTTAGGAGTGGTTCTTTACTTTGTGGTGTATGTGGATCAAGTGGCTAATTCCTTGATGTAAAAACTTTATATTCTTTCATTCAAGACATAATTTGTCAATCTTTGTCTGATCCACTGTTTACTGTTCAAAGTCAATGCTTGATAATATAGCCATTTATTTCTAGTTATCAGCAACAGAAAATCAAACTCCATAAAACAAAATAAAACAGAGCAAATGGAATGCTACAAGTCCCCGGAGTTGGAACATCTGATCATTGGACACCAAGTGAGCCGTGAACATGTGGCCAGGCTGGCTGACACGAGGTGAGTTCTGTCAGGCTCACCAAGTCATGACAAGGTTGGATGGGTCTGCAGCAATTGTCATTAAAAAGAGTTAATAGTAATAGTTTAAAAATAGCAAATTAAAAAGAGCAAATATGGCATATAAATGTAGGAAAAATATTCAGCCATAGTACTAATTAAATAAATGCAAATTAAAGGAATATTGCAATAGCATTACATTCTTTCAGATTATAGAAATTGACAACAATAAAAATGCCAAGTATTAGCATGGGTATGAACAGTAGGCAATCTGAATACACTGTTGTTGATTATTTAAAATTTGTAATAATTTCTGAAGGACATCTGACAGTTCATATTAAAATAAATAAAGACAAAACTACAATTTCCCTTCTTGGATTATACACTAAAGAAATTCTGAAAAAAAATGGCTCAAATACATAAGTACAAAAATGTTCACTGTGGCAACTATTAAATAGGAAAATACCATATACAACTTCAAGTTAAAAAAAAAAAGGAGGTTAGAATTTAGAACGTTTAATTTGTTTTTGCTTTTAGTATAAATATTCTTCCTAAATGTCCTAGGATTATCTATATTACTTCAGCAGTTGTCTTCTCTTTACTTCCCACTCACCATTCAACCCACTGTAAAACAAGTTCTGGTTTCACAACAATTTCCCAAAAGCAGTCCCACCAATATCTCCATTGATAACCAGTATTTGTCATTTACAGCATTATACCAGCATGACTTACATATTCTGACCCTTACTTTTCTCTCTAGCGTCATCTCAGACATCACAAAGAACCTTATTGCAGTTTGACCCTTCTTTCCACTCTTCACTTCAGCTATGTTTTTTAAGTCTCTTTTACATTCATACATGCTTGTGTTTAAATTTGGCTTACATGGCTCCAACACTCCTAAAATTTTCCCACAGTTTCTCACTGGGCTTTAGATAAAGAACGAGATCCTTAAACTAACTGGCCAGGTGCTACACACTGTGGTCCTTCAGCATCTCCAGTTTCATCTACTTGTTCTTCTCTCTCCCGTACTGGCCTTCCTTCATTTCTTGGAAGATGCCTTTTTCATCACCATGGGGGTCTGGCACATGCTAGTTTCTTCTTGAGCAGAAATTTTAGTACATCCACTTGTCTAATTAAGTCATTACTTGATTTGAGGTAGTAGTTAAATTCTAATATATGTTGAACACCTTCCTTAATCTAAACTGGGTCACTTTTCCCAGTTATATTTTTAGTAGAATCATGTTTCCTACTGCTCTATGCCACACGTTTTGTAGAAAGTAGCTCAGTTGATCATTATACAAGAAGTCATGCCATCATTTGATTAACATCTCTCTAAAGTCTGTATTTAAATGTTTGTCTAAATTACATTTTTATTTGTATTATTTGATTAATATCCACATGAACTGTAATCCTCATGAGAGTTGATGCTTTGTTTTATTATCATTTTTTGAATTTGTAGATATGAGGTTTTACCATGTTGCCCAGACTGGTCTGGAACTGGAATTCCTAAATGATCTGCCTGCCTTGACCTCACAAAGAGTTGGGATTACAGGCACGAGTCACTGCCTGCCACCAAATGCTTTTTTTTTTTTTTTTTTTTCAGTATTTTGTTTCTTGGTGTCAAACACATAGTAGGGGCTCCAAAATTATTTTTGCTCACCTCTGATATCATTAAAAGGTATGAACTTATGCCCACTGAGTAGGAGACCAGCAGGACTTGTTTTCTGGTCACAACTCTGCTGATCAAAACAGTATCTGGTCCAGAGGATGAAGTAAAGAAATTGGCAGGAACCAGTGGGTGATATGGAAAGCAATCCTTAGCTCCCCTTATTGCTCATTAGCATAGCACATTCCAACCAACATCATGACAGTTTACAAATGCCATGGCAATGACCCTCCTTTCCATAGCATTGACCCAGAAGTTACCACCCCTTTCCTAGCAAGCTCTAAATAACCCACCCTTCTATTTGCACTGATGGACTCTTTAATTTGCATGTAATTGAAAGTGGCTTTATGTGAGTAGAAAAGCAATTGTCAAAAGTCCATTGGTTAACCTACTCTGGGTGCATGGCAAGTTACAGTACAGTGCAATAAAAGGTTGCTGTCTAACAGCAGTGGCTCATCCTTGAATTATTTTTTGGGCTAAGCCCCAATTCTTGGGCACCTCTGTTTTGCAATGTCACAAGCTAATTACAGCTAACTACTCAAAATGCTTTCTTTTGGTAAATTGGAAATATGCTTAATTATAGATATAGGGATTATCGTAATTTGATGTCACGATTATAGCTTGTGCATTAGAAAAAAACCAAAGAACTGATAAAAGGATTGATCATTCTATGATTTTCCTCCAATTTTCTAAGTCCTAACCAAATCTAGGTTAGGTATGTTGGAATCTAGTTTCAACATTTCTTGACTAGGAAGAGATAAACTTTACCAAACCTTGATAGTATTATACCATACCAATGTTATTAAGATTTCCTAAAGGAACAAGAAGCTAATAATTTTAAATATATACCCTAAATGCTCACTAGTGTCAGTGTGTGAATATGTGTTTAAAAGAGCATGTGCATACGTTTTACTTCATCTAATTTCTTTTTGTCTTAACATTGCTTTCTGGAATAAGAACTATTTGTACAAGTCATTCATTTCCTCCTCTTTTTTGCTGTTATTGTTGTTATATTTCACTTCCAAGATACAATTAAGCCATGTATATAAGCAGGAAGAAAACATGTTAGGGCTATAAAGAAGTACTTAAAAAGAGTGATACAAACAGAAAACTGATTTGTTTTCATGAATTTCAAATAGTTGAAGGATATGATAAAAGTGCAGACTTGATAATTTAAAAGTATGTTCCCATTAACAGCCTTAGCTTTTATCAGAGCTTTAGTGCTTAGGGCTTGCTTTGATTTTCTGAATTTTAACAAGCATAAATTATATTTCCATTTGATCACTATCATGGACACTGGGTTTTTAAAACAAGGCTTTGTGGACAACATCATTTTCAGAAATTTTGTATCTGCTGTTGTGTAAAACCGATTATGTGATCTATAATCTCCACATGAAATTCTTGATTATTACTCAATGTGTCAGAAATATTTAATGAAATCTTTTAGAAATAGTTAACCGTATATGTAAGGAGAATCTGAACATGTTTAGCACTTGTAACATCTGAATGTCTATCTATCTCCTAGGAAATATTTCCTATCTCCTAGGAAATATGTTGCTTAGATAGGGAGGTTTTAACTTCAGCAAGTAGAGTTTATAAACAGATGGCATCACAGCCATTTCTGTTTCAGGACACCATTTCATTCTGTATGTGCCACCATGCTACAGCAGTTTCTTCCCACCAGCCTAGTCACGTCAGTCATTCACCTTCTGGTACATCAGAGTTTCGTTAGCTCATAGCTGCCTGACCTTGTGATGGGTGCAAGTCGACAGGTAGTTCATAACCCTTTGCTGTCAGAATTAGCATTCATGATACTATTTAAACTGTGCTGCCAATTTAGAGTTCATTATTAAATGGGGCATATGTTACTACACTTATATCTGATTCAGTCTAGTTATTTTTAGTTTGACCTTTTCTTTATTCATCAAATCAGTTTTGAAATAGACATTGAAGTACCCTTTACAGTTCATTATAAAAATTTCTGTGGCTGATATTTTATATGGAGTTTTCCAGATTCTCAGTTGCTCCATGCTAAATGTTAGATTTCAATGTTAGTTTAAACCAAAGTGAAGTAAGCATGGGTCCCCAGGATATTGATGAATGCTTTTTTTCAACTCCGCAACAGCTTTATGCTCCAAGTATAACTGAATTTGAAAGCACACACCTTCCTTTCAGTATCAAAAGTGACAAAAATAGAACTAGGAATAACAATGTATATTATGAATTATGTTACATCATTAATTCTTTTCGGACTCTCTCTACCCTTCCCACATTAATCTAGCATTGAAAAATATCAAACCCAAAAATATAGAAAATATTCAGTACAAGGTACTGTATTTTTTCTTAAATATAACTAAAATACATTTTACTATTTCAATTAGAAATTTCAAAAACACGATTCTTAGAAATTACGATTGAAGCAAGAAAACAGTACTGAAAGGAACATTGTTTCATAGACAGTGAAGTCTAAAAACCATAGGAATAAAAGCCAATGGAAAGGGTGAAGAGGGCACATAAAGACATACTATAGGAGAGAAACACTTCAATTTAATAAAGGCAAAAGCAGTAGATGCAAATCTTAAAGGGTGCTTTTGTTCTTCTATCACTTAGCAAAATTCATTGCTGGTGTTATGGGAAAGAGTAGAATTTTGCAATGATTCCTTACTTTACAAATTGTATAGATTTATACATGTTAAATGACAGATGATGTGTGATAGAAGTTTCATGCATATAACTATCTTATTACTTTTTTTCATTTACTATTATTTTACAGCTATTTTAATATAATAATGTGGATACTACGCCATATTCATTACCAAATGAACCCAAGGACGATGTTTGTAGCACAGGGAAATTCAATATGAAAGGTTTTTTTGGTTTTTTTTTTTTTTAGAAGCTATAGGTGATTTAAAGAAATAAAGCTACTTTAAAAGAGCTTTTCCTGCAACATCATAATGACCCTATGTCAATGCGGGCTTATTGAAGTCGGATCATAATAGAAATGTTACTATATATAAAAGGTCAATAGCATGCCTTTGCTGTTTTCTTTACCTGAAAAGTCACCAGTCAGTGACATATTATCTGATTCCAAATTTTCAAGATTTTCTTGAATTTCTGATAATGTGTTAGCCATTAGGTGGGCCGTATATAGAGAGGAAGAATTTATTAATTCCAAGCATATCATTGAAAGGATAACTTGAATTCAGAATTTTACTTTTGCTAATTCTCTCTTTTAATTATTTTTGTGGGCCTGATTAAATCTTTAAAATACCTGTTATGCTTCTAACTGTTTACAAGAAATTGACAATTTTTGGTATTTTTTCACACTGGATCTTGG